AGACAGACAGACAGACAGACAGACAGACACACACACACACACACACACACACACACACACACACACACACACACACACACACACCTTGTCTTTGGGTATTCATCTCCACCACACCATGCCCAGTGGACATAAAAAGTCCCACTGGAGAGAGCAGCAGCAGCAGCAGCACAGATGCCCTTCCATGAGATGACTCCCACCAGGAGAGCACCCTGGCAAGGGAATGCCCGGTGGCGCTCTCTCAGACCCTGGCTCCGGAACCTGTTGCCTAGCCCAGGGGTGCCAAGCTGAGCTCCAGCACGGCAAGGGTCTCACCTGGAGGAGTTCTGTAAACATGCTTGCGGCCATAACCGCAACTGGAAAATGCCTATTAGGGATCCTGGCTTTTGAGCCAAACAGCAAGGGATCCGAACACATGATCCCTTTGCCTCTGCTGTCAACTGCTCCCTCTCACCTCCATCCCATTCCAGAAGCCTCTGCAAACCGTCCTGAAAGACCCTAAGGACACCTTGCCCAGGGCTCATCCTAACAACCCCTCACTCTGGGCTCCACTCTGTACCTCTGCCCATTGGGCAAGCTGTTGCTCTCCTCAAGCAGGGCTGCTATAGGCAGCAAGGCATGTGACACTGACCCCCTTGCTCAGCTGCTTGCCTGGTCCACAGGTGGCTCTTCCCTAAGTGGCATCTCCCACCCGTTGCACAGCAGCCTTTCCCTCCTCCTGCCAAGAAACACCCAGTCAGGGAGGAAGCCAAGGCTGGAGAGGGGAAGGGGAGGTAGCTGGGCAATCTTTAGGGCTAGAGACAGAGAGACCACATGTGTGGCTTGCCTTTCTCCTGCAAGAGTCGCTGGCTTCCACAGACACCTGGGTACAAGCCAAGGTGCTGGTTCTGATCGCCGAAGCTGCACATCAGAACATCAGACTTTTCGCTCTCATTGCCATCTCTAAGATCAGTTGAGTCACCTCAGTCACACACACACACACACACACACACACACACACACACACAGAGAGAGAGAGAGAGAGAGACAGAGACAGAGACAGAGACAGAGAGAGAGACAGAGACAGAGACAGAGACAGAGACAGAGACAGACAGACAGACAGACAGACAGACAGACAGACAGACAGACAGACAGAATGGAAAGCCTCCTTCAGCAGGGCAAACAGACAGGCTGCAAAGCTCCCTTCTTCCCATTCAGCATGTTCAAGCAGCATCCAGAACAAGCCTGGGAAAGGAAGAGTGTCAAGAGCAGTGCTGTATAAGACAAGACATGCCTATGTATTTCTGTGTGAAACTCCCATTTTAGAACAGCTCCAAATCAGAAATGGGCCATACCTTTATTGCCCCCTGAACTATCATCAGGGAGGCAAGGTTTTGAGTCCTTTAGAACTCTTCACCAGTCCGGCCATTGCCAGACCCCTGAATGGAAGAGAACGAGAAAATCTCCCAACCCATCTTGGCTGTACTGTATGTTGAAGGATCTGGTGGGGAAATTCGAAGATGGAGTATACAAACCTGAAGAAGCATGGGGTGGGTGGGAGGTGGGATCAAGTTTCACCTGAGGGGGTGCAGGATCATGGGCCTTACTTTATCTTTGTTGATGGGCAACGTTTTTATGATTCTTTTCATCCTGCAAGAAAGGTATGGTCCGAGGCTGATTCTGGGTTTTGCTCATGGATAACCTGGTTCTCTCTCTCTCTCTCTCTGACTTTCTTTGTTTCAGAAAAGTCTTACTTGCTCTGCTGATCCATCAGCCAGAGAGACCAAGGTGCAGGGAGTGGTGGTGAGGAGGAGAATCTGGACCTGATGGTGCTCTCTTGTACCGGGGGAGCGGGTCCGTTAGGTTGCATTAGAGCAGCAAGGAGTAGCCCGGGAGAACTCCCAGGGCAGGAGGAGCTGTAGAGGAGCCCATTCCAAGACTGAAATGCAACTGGATCAGTGGAGACCAGAGAAGCGCAAGGCCCCAGGAGAAGGCACGGCACCTCTCTCCCGAGGTAGCCACCCTATCTAGCCCAGGAGCAGCGGTTTCTCTCGGCTAAGCTGAGAGTTAAAGCCGAGGAAGGAGACGCGAGGTGGCTCAGCAACCGGTTTCCTCGGAAGGCGCCTCCTGCTTCCCCCGCTGGTCCTCTCGGATTCGCCCTTGTTCCATTTCACAGGAAGGCGCATCCAAAGGGCACGTCCGCTTCCCAGCCTCCTCCGCCCTCGGAGACACTGAGCCCAGTCCTCTCTGCGCTCAGAGG